ATAGACACAATAACTGTAACAATGTACGGTGCAGGGACAGTTGCTCCATTGCAGGCGTGTTGCCCTCGACCGATACAAGCGACGTAGGCCATGCGGTGAGGCAGGTGACTCTGTTCGTACACGCCGGAGAACAGCTGGTGATGAGGACCGCGGGCGTACACGGCCACGTCATCACCGCCGTGCGTCTCGGACCCTAGAGGGACGTCCACGTGCGCCTGCCACCTTACTGACCCTGAACAATCATTTTAAATTATTAATTTTTAGTTCAATGGAAATAAGATTTTATCTACTATTTACTTCGAATGTTTATATGTTTATTTACATGTTTTTTTTATCCTTTGTTTAAATAAACTTTCTATGGGATGAAATATACATATAATGTTATGCAATTTTTTTTTTCTTATTTCCTTTTGAAAATTTTAAAATATGTATTTAAAGTATACATACTAAAAGTAGGTTCCTGGGTAACGTCAGCTCTTGCTCCATTTTCATGTGAACGGAATCCGGGTCCATTAATATACGATAGAGTCATAAAAGGTTTGCCGTGGCTGTCCACATTGCCCGAGGGACCTAAAATGTCTCGACCTCTACTGGAGTAGCCGTTGTATGCCATCACGTGGGCGTGGTCAGCGGTCACTACAATGAGTGAATCTTCTTCAGATAACATTTCGGTTGCCTTTGCTACAGCAGAATGAAGTTCCAAGGTTTCATCTAAAGCTAGTTCCACCATGTTGTCATGATGGGCGTGATCGATTCGCCCACCTTCAACAAATAAGAAAAACCCTTTTTCATTACGACTTAACATTTTAATCGCTGTTTCTGTTAGTTCTGTTAATGTCGGTTCTGTGGTTTTGTTGGCCTCCAAATTATATTGAAGATGTGATCCCTCAAACAACCCTAACATGTATTCTGGGAGATCTGAGTTCGCTGAATTTAATTGTTCTTTGTTCCAGATATACTTAAAGCTGACGTTTCGATTTGCTTTATCTGTTTGCCATTCTTGAATTAAATTTCTATTATCAGTCCTTCTACCCGCAGTGCCTTCGTCATCACGAGTACCCAAAGGTAAAAATTCACGACGCCCTCCTCCTAAAATAACCTGTAATGAGCACAAAATAATATATTTCAATGTTTGGGAGATATATACAATTTTTCTAATAAGATCTAAAACTTTCGCGAGTATTCATTTAAAAACAACTAATATATTAGTTTTATTTAAAAAGTTATTTTATTTTAAATCTTATAAAACTATTATTTACCTTGAAATGTTTCCCTGGCTCAGAATGAACTAATTGATACGCAATATCTCGACAAAGTTCTGGATCGTGACCTGCTTGGTTTACTTGGGCATTATTTTCCCAATTACGATCAGCTGCATTTGCGTAAGAGCCAGCTGGAGATGCATGCGTTACTCTTGTAGTAGTTACTATACCTGTAAAAAGATATATCTTTTGTATTTTTAGATGTTCAATAAAAACTAATCAAGTCAGTAATAAGAATAGTATAGTAAGTACCGGCATCTCTCCCATCAGCAAGAGCCCAAGCAGCAATGGAATCCAGCTGTACAGAAGAAGTCAATGATGCTTGACAGTCGCGACGTGGAACTGCAGCAGTAACTCCTAAAGTACCGGAATTAGCTTTCACGCCACACAAGTAGGCAGTCGCGGAACAGGCTGAATCAGCTACTTGAGCATTAACACAATATGTCTACAAAAAAGAAACATATATATGTTAATGTACACATGTTATAGAAATATTATACTCCGCACAATTTATATAAATTAAGAGTTCCTTAAATCGTACCTTTGACATTCCGACTGTAGGAAAGGCTTCAAAAGAAAGCTGTGTCTCTTCTCCTGTTTTGTTATTTCTTTGTCCAAGTAAAGCTCGTGCGGCATTTACAGTAGGATTTGACATGCCATCACCAAGAAACATTACTACATTACGAGCCTTCCCAACGCCACTGCCATATCCAAAATGTTTTAGTTTTCTTATTGCTTCCTGGGCATCATTCTCCCAATATTGACGTGTCAATTCAGATTGCGGCACAAAGGAAGCCCTGGGCCCACGCTGTTCTGGATGGTAGCGATCATTGGCACACACCATACATACCAAAACAGCAAAGAGTTTGGCTGTACCTAACGCCCACATTGTAGTGAATGGAATGTCTATAGGCAACGATGTCTATATATTTAACAGACCTTATCGTTTTATCTAATTATTAATGACTTAAATTCATTTTTGTTACATACTAGATCTTTTATTAATATTATCGTTTTTGCTCATGATAAAAAGATAATATGGGAAGGAAATAACTTACTGTTTACAGAATATTTCGGCTGTACAAAAAAAATGAGCCTTGTCACTGTTTATTGTTTAAACCTTGTCATAATTTAGATAAATAAACGAAATTTTAAAAGATCTCATTTGTCTCAATTTATTCAGGGCTCGAACTTAAATCTTATCAAAATTTTGTACGAGTATGTCAATTAAAGCACGTGTAAAGTAGATATTACACCTGTTTATGATGATTAGAGACACTAAAATACGTTTTATAAATTGATTGTTGACAAAATATGTAACAATAACCTTTCATACCAAACTGCTTATTCCTGCTTACTCGGAACCTGCTAATTCATAATACATCATACATTCTGTCATCCGTAATATGATGAGCGAAAGTTAAAGACTGAGTATAATGTGTATACATTTATGTATACTTCTATTTTTGATTATTTATATTAATATTCATGTACATCGATATTAATAATCAAAATTTAAAAATCCTCGGAGCTCTTGTCATCGTCTAAAGCTACGATCATATTGGCTAAGTGTACAATACTTCATTGGTTCGGGAGATTCGCAATATTTTATTCAACACAGAAAAATAAAATATACAATAAAAAATAAAATAAACAGTCTATATATTAAGTCCTGAAGAATATTAAGCGCAATAATGTTATTACTGATAACTTATAACTTTTATATAATTACATATTAAAAAGTATTATAATAAACAAAATAGTGTTAGGTGTTAAATTTCTTACCTTTAGTATTGCAAACAAAATGTTTAGATACTCAACGGAAGTTGCAAATATTCATTTGTAACACGAAAAGTCTTAACATTGTTTTGTAAGACCTATAATTAATTGTTTAGACCCAGTTTCACCAATCAATGTTAAATAAGTAACATCTTGCTAAGGCGTTTGATGCTCTGTTAGATGCATCGAGCGTCCCACCACTCACAAATGTCCGTTTAAACGTCTTAACAAGCCACTAATATTAATTCCTGCTCTGGAGCTCTGTCTAATGGCTAACATGACTGTTAATGCATTGTCAAAACTCAATTGTCCAATCACAGCCCTGATTTATTGTAACCATAGTAACGTCATCTGTTATGCCAGTTTCGACTACTTCCTTGTACTTATTAATAAAGTGAATTAAAATTTCATTTCCTATGATGATTTTGTCTCCAGCTTTTCTATGACATTGCAAATTAAATTTTATTTTTATCTCTTATAATTTGAACATAATATATGAATATATTTATAACACAATTATATTATATAATACAATTTATGACAACACGATTTTGACAGGTTACACCTAGTAAATTGAAAAGAAAGCTTTTTGTGTGCCAAATGTATGCAGCCAATAATGTATAAAATTTGGTCGCATTACCTTACAAGTGACGTATCGAGGGTTATATGCGATCAAAGTATAAAGTGGTGCATCGTGGCAATCGTGCCGTATTAAACGCTATAGTTTCAATTTGGTCGTCTTATAACAAAAACGAATAATTTAATAATACGTTGTTAATTTGTCATCGTTGAACGTAATTATTTTACCAGACATTTATGATTTTAGAGTTTTGTTAGTAAATGCTGTGTTAAGATTAAACAAACATTAATTGGTGAAACTGGGTCTTAAAATGTCGTAGAAGGTCCGTTAATTGTTAAACGAAACGGGACTCTGATTGGTCGGTAAACTGTTATAAATATATTTTTTCGCCATTTTATTATTATTGAATATTGTCATTTGTCTTTCTGAAATTAGTGAGTAGTAGATTTTCATTATTGTCATTTGATAATAAAATTAAAATAAGTGTAAAGTCAAGGTGTGTGACCAGTTGAGATTGAACTAAAGGAAAGGTAATATTATTCGTTTTAATAAAAAGTATTATGATAATTTTAATTAGTTAGCAGGTTGAATACACACAAATATGTTATTTTGTTTGCATTGTTTGTTATTTTCAAATAATACCTAAAAATAAGAATGTTTGAATCTCCACTAGATATTCCTATTTAAATAACTTTTATAAAGCTGTTCATCATACAGATCGTAATCGTTTTAAGGTACTTTCGTAGCTCAGGTAGATGAGAAATCACTAAGTATTTTGTTATTTATTTATAATTTAAATAATTTTACAAAGTATTTATCCGTTGGAAATATAATAGTTCTTCAACAAAAAAATATAATTTAATAGTTTTGTATCAGAGAATTTAAATGTGGTGCAATCAATATTTTAAAGGTAAGACCTTGAAATATCATTTTCATCTAATTTATCTTTTGTTATCTGAGTTCACGTTCAGAGATGATATCTAGTCAGATATATGAATTTATAATAAATATTTGACATTTGTGATCATTTTGAATTTCGTTCGTCAACCTACTCGTACTCGTGTATAGTGGTTTAATTCTGTAAATCCGTCATAGTGCTGTTTTAATTTAATAGTGATGTCTCAAACCAAAAATGTCTGGGCTTTTCATCTTGTCACATTATTGTTATTGTTGCCATATTCTTTAGGTATAAAACGAATGTAAATTTTAAAAATATTAAAAAAATATCTACATATATCGATAATTTTTAAGGACTATGTATATTTTTAAATTATTAAAATAGGAATTTATATAGTGCAAAATAATTTTTATTTTGAAAGATATTTTTTATTTTAGAACATGACGAATATCATAAAACTCCTCCAAATATATTCAAAAATTTGACTCCAAGAAACCAAGAAGAATCTCAACCAGAATTCTGGATTAAAGATGCTCAGTCTGCAATTGAAGCCCGTTTACGTTACGTAAAGGCTACCGGTTCAGCTCGAAACATAGTGATGTTCCTTGGAGACGGGATGTCTATACCAACTTTGGCCGCGGCGCGGACTCTGTTGGGACAACGGAACAACAAGACCGGAGAAGAAGCTCATCTGTCTTTTGAGATGTTTCCTACGGTTGGACTTGCTAAGGTATATTTGTGGATAGCATAGTTTTCACGAAACGACGCCATTCAATTTATATATTTTAAACTTTACCAAATACTAACTTTATTCTAGCAATTATTGAAAATCGGTTTTTGACACTACTTACTACTATATTTAAAAAATAAAGTAAATCTGTAAAAATTATATATTAATGTGTGTTTTAGACCTATTGTGTTGATTCACAAATCCCAGACTCTGCCTGCACGGCTACTGCATATCTCTGCGGTGTGAAAGCCAATCGTGGGACTATCGGCGTCACAGCAGCCGTACCACGTCGGGACTGCCTCGCATCACTTGACAAGGCCTCACATTTAAAATCCATCGCGACTTGGGCCCTTGAAGATGGACGAGATGCAGGTACCTTAATAACCTCTTGTCTTCATCTGTAACCTTACGTTCAGGTCTGTCATTCTTTATATAGGAAGATAATGAACATAGAGACTAGTATTGGTATCAATCTAAAGATTTTAGGCGTCGTAGGAGGATAGTATTTTTTACTTTTTCTGTAAAAAGTTAAACAATGTAAGACTATGCTTTTGACTTATTCTATAATATAAGAGTATCGAAACTACCATGTTTGTTATAAGTCAGGTGAATGACACATGCATACAAGGTAATTGGATGTTATTCAACGTTCAGCAGATTGATATTAACAACACCGAGTCTTTTAATCTATATGTGAATTAATTTTAATAGTTTATAAAAATCTGCAGGAATAGTAACAACAACTCGTGTGACGCACGCCTCTCCGTCTGGCGCATACGCTCATATTGCTAACAGAGATTGGGAGAGTGATGCAGATGTTATAGATGACGAGTACGATCCTCAAACCTGTCCCGACATCGCTCATCAACTAGTCAACTCCTATCCTGGCAATCAGTTTAAGGTTTGGACCTTCCTAAAAATGTTACTAGCTACTTGAAGTCAACTTAAGGAAAGATTCATTTATTTAAAGATTGGGTATTTAATTTCTGCAAATTACATAAAACCTTTAAGCATATTTTAAAAATATTTTCCTATTTCGTTAAAAGTCTTAATATTATAGTTCTATGTACAATTTAATAAAATATAAAAATAAATAGATCAAATGCGGGAGGCGTTACTATTAATTGAGACAAATGAAAGAGGATGTTGTATATGTCACTGACATTTTGATTAATATTATTCACCACAAATTAACACAAATGCATATCTAAGATGCTAATTGAAATAAAATAATTTAAATAGAAAAATCTTAATTGTAATTTGTATGCATTTGTAAGGGAGGAATATTAAGGTATCGTTGGCAAAACAAGAACAACTGAGATAAACGTTCATCTCATTTTCTTCTTAAAAACTACACAGATAATGAATTACAGATTGTATTGATACGTGTAAAGTATTTCTTTTATTATAAATAATAATATTTTATGAATTTGTTTTAGGTTATACTTGGCGGAGGCAGACGAGAATTTCTCCCTAATAATTTTGTTGACGAAGAAGGTAAAGTCGGTAGGAGACGTGACGATCGTAATTTAATCGAGGAATGGCAGATGGATAAGATAGCTCGCAACTCAAGCTACCAATACGTATGGAATCGAGATCAGTTAAAGAGTATCAGTAACGATCTGCCAGATTATATTTTGGGTCTTTTTGAAAGCAGTCATTTACAGTATCATATGGAAGCAAACGAAAGAACAGAACCATCGCTCGCTGAACTTACGGAGGTTGCCATTCGTGCTCTCAGTAAGAACAAAAAGGGATTCTTTTTATTCGTCGAAGGTGGTCGTATTGACCACGCCCATCATGAAAACTTCGTAGAATTGGCACTCGATGAAACAATAGAGTTGAGCAAAGCTGTACAACGAGCGAACGAGTTATTATCAGAAGAAGATTCCTTAATAGTAGTTACCTCCGATCACGCGCACGTGATGGCGTTCAACGGGTACACTCATCGTGGCGGAGATATCCTGGGCCCATCGGACTCTATCGGTGACGATAACATACCGTACATGACACTATCTTACACGAACGGACCCGGCCACCGACCTCATGACTCTGTACATAGAGTTGATGTTACTGGAGACGAAGACTACCGTTAGTATGATAATGATATAGTTTTTGTTAGAGTTATGATTCGGTAGAGCCATGTGTACATATATATTTATTATGTACAAATTAATAAGTTCTTTAATAATAATAAAAAACGGGGTTAGGACTTGTAATACATTTTAGTTAAAAAGAGGCGAGGCAATTGTTATATCTTATAGGACCAGCATTTTCTTAAGAATTTGAATGAACGATATTAACGTTACCTAAATGATATAGGTCAGTTACAATGGAGAAGTCACGCTGAAGTGCCCTTGGACTCAGAAACACACGGCGGAGATGACGTGGCGGTGTTCGCTCGAGGTCCTCAGAGTGAGATGTTCTCCGGACTGTTCGAACAGAATCAGTTGCCACACCTCATGGCCTACGCCGGCTGTTTCGGGCCCGGCCGTCACGCCTGCTCCTTGGCCGATGACTGAACACAAGTGACACCGCTTTATATTGTTTAATATACTTCAATAAAGTTACCAAGTTAATGATTAAGATTTTTATGAAAATCTAATAATAATAATTTCATTTAATTGTGGATTTGTTTTTTTTTACTTCTCATATTAACCAATGCTGCGAATTTAGTCAAAAAAACACGGCAAATTGACAGTTTTATAATTTTTAAGAGGTTTTATAAGACTTAAAAACTATTAAGTAGTATGATTCCTGATCGGAACCTGGTGTAAGTGTCCAGTCTGTTCATCAATCACGGCAGGTCGTTAGAGCCGGGCCCGCGAGCCAGAGTGCCTCTTATTGACAGCCATTGTCGTCGTGACACGGATTAATGTTCGCCGCTCGACTGTGTCATTGCCTTACTCAGTTACGACTATATACACAGTGACGGCTGTCTGGAGCACTTTTTTATTTGACGTCGGTGGTCGACGTAAAGATTAACATCCATCTATTTATAAATTATTATACATCGAATTAAACTACGTACAGTTTTCATTCTGTGTGTTTCTCATATAAAATATATGTTTTAATGGTAGTCATCATTTCGAACGTTCTCTTGAGCAACATTGTTAATAATTTATGTCACCATTATTTTTCATTTGAAGTGATCATACACAATCATACATTACAGATTTGCACAAATGATAAGACTGATGAAATTTTTTAACAATTAATTGTTTTAAGATCTAAATTCTAATATGTCGCTTGAGGTTGTCTATTTTAAAATTAAATTCAAAATAATTATATTGTAAAGCGACTTCAATCGTTACTTGAATTTGATTTGACTTGTTTCAAGTTTATTTCATTCAAGTTGTGTATCCGGAAAAGCAGTTTTGGATAAAATAATATCTCTAACATCTTTTGAAGAATTTTATAACAGTACTGAAATGAGTGAAGCCTGGACTTTCATGAAATAGGAATAAAATTCATTAAATATTTGTGTTTTATAAATAGTATGAAATAATATCATTTGACTTTTAAGTAAAGTAATAATAATTTTTGGTAAAGTGCATCGCCTGTATGGTTTTTAGTTGCGGGAATGTACACTGGGATTAGTTTAATACGCCTTTGAGCCAAATAAATACCGATTTAGAGTGTAATCGAATGTTTTAATGATAAGGAACCGATCGCGTAACATCGAAATCCTTGGAGTCAGTGATTAGATAAAACGTCGGTCTGCTCTAATATTATTATCATTCAAAATAAGACGAAACAATGTTATTATATTGTTTACAATATTTTTTGTAAATTTCTTTTAGTACCTTATAAAGGCATATTTAAAAAAATAACACAAATTGAAGGAGGATCTAGACTACCTATCTGTATCGCTTACATTTTTCAATAAAGCAACCGACTTTAGATTTGAAAGTTACGAAATCACATTTGAAACATAAAAAATTTATAATTAATTACATATTATTAATATTATTCATTATAATAAATTTATTCAACATGATATAGGGGTCCATATTTCATTATTAACGGTGGTTGTTTTTATGAAAGTGTTAAGTCCTTTGACGAGAAATGGGGAACGACTTAATAGTTAGTTTTACAATAAATATAATTAAAAAAGACACAGGACTTTAAAAAAAGTCAGTGGTGGCCTAGTGGTTAAAGGGCCCGCCTCTCGTTGCCGAGGGCGCGGGTTCAAACCTGGCAAGTACCAATGTGATTTTTCGGAGTCATATGTACTTTCTGAGAGTATTTAGACACCACTGACATACGGTGAAGGAAAAACATCGTGAGGAAACCTGGACTTATAGTTTTCCCATTAAAAGTTTGAAATCACCAACCCGTCTTGAGCAAGCGTGGTGATTAATGCTCAAAACCTTCTCCATGTGAGAAAGAGGCCTTTGCTCAGCAGTGGGCTCTGATAGGCTGATGACGACGACGACGACGATAGGACTTTAAACGGTCCTATCAATGACATATTTTATCAACAAAAAATAATTGTTGCTATGTGATGTAGGTATGACGTAACTTTAAGAAAATTACTTTTAAAACTTCACACAAGGAATACCGAGTCACACATCACTAGTAGGACATGAACTACAGGGAAATGTTAAAACAAGGAAATCTTTGTTTTTAGGTTATATTGGGAATTTTATATAAAGTTATATATTGATTATGTGTATTATTATAATACAACATAAAGAACACAATGTCTTAATATAAAGAGGTAAATGAAATAATAATATTTGGAATAAACATTCCCATGTTATTATATATTTTTTATAAAACATCTGAATTTGAGCGGGAGTAACAAGACGTGTCATTGCCATAAATGATGAGGTCATTATATTTGACATATATATCATGATATTTCATAAGAGTATATTAATTTGTTAGAACAGTTTTGAGTGTAAAGCTCTAGAAACACCTTATATAAATGCTCATTTATTAAAGAAGAAAATAAATGATAAAATCTAGAAACATTACAGAATTTTATTTTGCTTATATTATTGTACAGATACTTATTGAACTACAAATAAAATTAAGGTATTGGGATTGAAAAATGGAATATTATTCAATAAATGCAAAAAAACGTTTTTTGTAAGATGTTGCATTTATTGAATAATATTCCATTTTTCAATCCCAATTCTTACAAAAAACGTTTTTTTTGTCATATTATTTCAAAAAAATTGAGTATGAGAAGTGTGCTTAAAACGAGATGTTGAAGGACAACAGTTAAGACTGACTTGGTTCAATAATTATTCTGAATCAATAAAAATATTTTGTTTATCTTTAGAGCTTCAATTTTACGTAAATAAAGGTTTCTATCGTTCTTGATATTACTTCTTTTGACAGGTCTTATGAGTTTTCAAGAAACAAATTTCTACATTTTATGTCTTTTTCAATATAAAAATACTACATATATACATTTATTTCTTTTTGTTATGGGGAGAAGGAATAACTAAAATAATTATGTATTGTTGCAATACACCACTCGGTCTTTGTATAATTTTTAAAAACGCATTTATATCAGAATATGTAGAAAGTCAGTGGTGGCTCAGTGGTTAAAAGGGCCCGCCTCTCGTCGCCGAGGGCGCGGGTTCGATCCTGGCTCGGGCAAGTACCAATGTGTTTTTTCCGAATCATATGTACTTTCTAAGAGTATTTAGACATCACTGATTAATGTTGATTCCCAAAAGAGGGTTGACGTCAGGCAGGCGGCCGGTCGTAAAAAACAAATAGCCAAAAACTTTTCACAACATGTAAGGCAAACCCTGGCTATAGCTGGGAAATTGCCAGGTAGAAGATCAGAATATGTAGAAAGGACGATGTTTCATTTTAAATGAAATCAAAGTATAAGATGACTTCCGGCTGTTTGTAGAACAACAAGATTTAGTGTTTTCAATACTTTTAAATAAAAATGAATATTTAAAATATAGATGTCAAGGGGTGGTAGAAGAAGGGCGGCACGTAATTATACGAGAAATTATAAATCCTGTGCAACACTTTGCAAAAAAAAACTTAGTGAGATATTGTGAACCTTGGCGTTGACGAATAAAGTTTGTATTTGTTTAAGTAGTAAATTGGTATGGCGGGGCTCCACGACTGATCCACTAAATCCATGGCGATGCATTCAATTGTTCGGGCAAATCAATATCTTGCCCTTATTCCACACTGCATAAAGTTTATGGCGCGGAATAATCCGTTGAAATTGAATCTAAAATAGAATATACTGATATTATTTTATTGTACAATAATAACAATAAATTAAAAATGTTGTTTTGAACCAATAACAAGTGTGTAAAATATAAATATAGTTAATGACCATTGAGTTATATATTTATGTAGATATATAGGTCATTAACGTCTTATATACTTTTAAGAATATCCGTGAAATACGTTTTGATAGCAGACAAAATATATTTAATAAGCGAATAATACACCTATTTTGGAACTTTAACTAAATGGGAAAAGAATGTGCTGCGAGAACCCGCCAGCTCCTCCGGGAGCCGCTCGACGACGCATTCATTAAAAGCGCAATTAGCAGAGTGCATCGCCTCGCGCACCCATATTATGGAATGTCATTCGTCAAAATTTCCCCGAAGAGTACCGTTCACTTCGAGCGAGGAGTCCCCAGGATCCATCCCCCTCGCCCCCCCCGCTCTGCCCCTCCTCGTCCCCGCTCTTCCTTCCCCTCTGCCAGCAGCATCGTTCCCGACACCCCTCACCCTCAACGACCTCCGAGGGCTGCCATCCGGCAGTCCCGAGCTCCCTCTCGTCTCGACGCATCGCCGCGTGTCGAAAGTTCGTTTCCACAAACTTTCCCGATACAAAAGATCGGTGTCGTGCGCAACAGTTCTCATAGTTTGTGTTTAAAGTTGTCAGTTAAAGTGTTCAGTAAGCCAATATGAATTTGGTGTAAAGTGTGGTGTGATAGTGAGGTGATAAGTTACTAACATTGTAGTGTTTTGATATCAAGAGATTGTCTGTACACAAAAAGGTGAGATAAAAATCATTTTATCATTTGAATAGTATCATATTAACATTTCGTTACTGACTTTGTTTTTCATTATGATAATTATATATTTATTAAATCGTATTTAGGTCATTGATTTGGGTACTTATTTACTTTATAGCAGGGATGTTCAAAAATTATGTCTCTTTCAAGTAATATTCAATTATTTTCAATTTAACTATTAATGAGCCTTCGTAACAGACCAGGCCTTATTCTGAAAAATATTTATGGCAGAGCTCGGTTGTTTTTAATTTTTCTAACATTATTATTTGTTTTCCCGAATAATACCGAAACATTTTTTGATAAATCTTGAAACTTGAAATCACGGACAGACAAAAGGTTGAATGAAATCAGTGAGCGTCTCTTGGCGTGAACGATAACTATGACACATCGAATTATGTTGATAAGTAACTGAGGATTATACATTTCAATTAAAGTTTGGGTTTATGAGTCAGACGATGATACGTTCCTGTCTTACAAGACAACGCTACTCCACCAAGATCATACAACACTTGAAGCTATGATTTTATTAATGAAAATCTTAGTGTTACATTGAATAAATATTTAAAAATTATTGGAATCAAAGTTTACTGATGAAAATGTCACCGACACAAAAAGCATTTTTTCTCTTGATTACAGCGATAGGTATAACATTTTACTTTTATGAAAATAAAATTAAAAAAACAATATGTTAAAAACAATACTAGAATGCAACAGTTCTGACAGGTATCTGTATTAAATAATGAATAAATTTAAATAGTTTTTAAATGTTATTTTTTTATTAAAATTAATCAATTTCTAAATTCATATCACGTCAAGTTCCAAAAAGCCTCACCTGTACCAATAGTCAAATTTTTTGATCAGTCATGTAATGTAACTGTATGTATGTGTGATGATAAAGTTTATACATAAAGTTTTTAATATCTTGTTACACATATAAAATGTTTTGAATAGTTAAAACATTGGCAAGATTTCGAAATTAACAGATTTTATATATGAAGAATATACTTGACTCACTGTAAATATTTAATTATATTACTACTGATCTACATATGTATGTATAAAAAAGGAACCAAATAGATCTATTATCGTTTTAGGGATATTGCATATTTCTTGTTCAATTCACTTCTGAAATCTTAAAATATATATTTTTATCAAAATACACAATACATATATTTTTATAATATTTTTTTCTCCCCCCGCCGCCCCACACTCCGGTCTCCAATGTTAATTGACTCGTCGAGGGATGTTTGTATGAATTTTAATTCGATCCAAACTTCAATACATTTCTATTGTTGTATGTTTCACGTATTGCTTCTTATATTTCGTTGGTTTCTAGAAGTTTATTTTTTGTGTGATAGTGCGTTAACCGTCTTAAGCTTCAAGAACCATCTAGTTTATGTTTTATAAAAAATATCAAATTTAAACACCACTTCTCACTCCCGTCAGAAGGTTTTGACGTGAGTTTGTATTGTTGTGGTCTATTGAGTAGTGTCTATTTTAACTTCCCTGCTCAGTCTGAAGGCCAGATAGCATTTCTGAGTCACTGAAAGGGTTTCAAACAGTAAGGAAGTGAGTCCCAACACCGCCGTACAAAGACATCAGTTCATCATCATCATCACCCAGTTCTTAAGATAATATTATACATAATATCTTAATGTTGTTTCAACACCTCTCAAGCTTGTACTTTTTCTTGAGTTGATTTTTATCGTTAAGTAAAAAATTGGCCCTTAGTTTTATTAAGCCCTTTGCAAGTCGAGTTTTCTTTATGTATTACATGAATATTATTAAAAAAATCTATGAACAATCAATAGCACACAAGATGTCCAAATAAAAATTTGAATTTTCACCAACGAAAACGTAATACATATAAACATATAATCTCTCAGATGATAGACATGTCCACAACTAATTACAATATTATATTGAGGTCATTGACCCCAATACATAAAGTTAAACGAATATATTACAACATAGATTGATAAATTGTACAGTCATGTGATGTAAACTGTCCACTACTCTGATCTGTTCAAAGGTTTTTAGTAATCCACTATTACTGGTCGGCTTCGTGATACATACATACATATTTTGTTAAACAATAACTAACTTTTTGTTTTCCTCTGAGACTTATTTTATCTAAAATAAAATATTCACTTCATATTATAATCTTAATGACAAATTAAAGGAAGTACTTATGATGTTTTAATCGACTGATGTAAGGAGATGTTTTAAAAAATTATATTTTAGCATATTATGGTACAATCTTTTCTTGTATTAATCGTCACAAAACATGCTTAATTTATAGTCAGGCATGATTATTGAAGTCCGCTGAGATGAAAATATTCTTAACAGACGTTCATAATGTATTATCGTGAATAAAATAAAGTACTGAAGTATTACATTGTGGAGTACCTATGTTACTATGTGGAGTACAAACAGTATCGTCTCGTCATGATAATGTTATTTTTGACTCGTTTGAGTTTGAGTGTGTTTGTTTATCAACATATGTATTAAACTTCGATCAAATTACGTTTAACATTCTTCATCTTTAATAAAACTATAATTTAAATGACTACTGACGAACTTTTTTATATTTTAATTTTTAATACTATTATTCGTTGTTTTTTCATTGACATTGCTGAGTTGTTCTCGGTAGATTTATTAATACGAAACATTTTAAATCATCGTCGTGAATCAACTCAATATTATATTTTTCGATGTTACTGATGATTATCCTAAGTTTTTTAAGACTTAAATGAAAATTTTTAATGAAAATTTAAGGCAAGAGTAATCTAATGGTTAAAGAATTGAAAATATTGTAAAACCCTTACTTTTTTATTTTTAGTCTTAATTATATATCATTCTTTAATTTATTTATCATTTTTCAAATTACAAACACGATTCCAAGCATGAGACGAACTAAAATAATTACAATTCATTATGATTGTTAAAAAACTACAATAAATTATGATAAGTTGATTGATCACGATGTAAGAATACAACATTATAATATTCAGTAATAATATAATAGAACTCCCACAGTGTTTTATTTAAATTACAATCGTAATATATTAAAAATTCTTTGATTGCAGAGAAATATGAAAAAGGTCTTGTAAAGTGACTACAACTGACAGAGATGGGTGCGAGAAGCACACGTCGCGAGCGGTGGCGGCTGGTGGTGCCCCGACCGTAGCCTCGTGACTAGAGAGGTAGCGTCGTGATATAGTCGTGCGACTGTCGTGTGACTACCGTTCGACTGTTGTCACAGTAAAGTTGGTACTTCGACACCACACCGATCATGGCGGACGATAATACTGTCATAGAAGGCACTGTAAAATTTCGGGACGGAAAAAAGGTATTAATGAAAAGATATTATTATTAAAATAATATTTTCTAACGAATTAATTTATAAATCATTAAAACGGATCCGTACAAAAATTTTGTTTCATGATCTTAATGCAATGAATTTATTAAAATTTGCCACCACATAAAGGAAATTAGTTTCTATAGTTATCAAAACTCAATAAAACAATTTGGATTTTGGTAGAATATTAGTTTTTCGAATGAGTCATAATTCATAAATGTATCACATGTCAGGATAACAGAATGTGTTCGAGCTTCATGAGTTGTTCACGACGTCGTTGTGTAATCCCTGCGATGTATATTTTTTTATCTCGTGTTTTTTTTATCGATAAACTAAGCCAATTTTATTGACATGTGATGTTTGTTCTCAGTGGAAGTCTCGCTGGTGCGTGATGAGGAAACTCTCTCCGGTGGCAGGTGAGCTCCCGTCCCCGCCCTCTTTATCTGCATCTCATTATTATCTTATCATGTATTTGCTGACAGCTGACATTTATAACAATGTATACTTTAGTAGAATGAATAGAGATCCTTAAGGATACGTACACTGAGTTTTTTCTTTTGGTAATTATGATAAACACATTTGAAGCATACTAATAATACAAAATTTCTCAAACGAATGTCACTCAGATATAGGATACTCCTATTTCGACTTAATCTATGATGGTCACACAACGAATGCTAATTAAAAAAAAAACAAAAAAAGCAAATATGATTGATTTTTTTATACGAAATAAAAAACAAACTAAAGAAGGTACCTATCTATCAAACCTAAATTTTAATATATAAATTGTATGGATCACATAATGAGATATAGGATATTCGCGAGTCTTATTCATTTAAATGAAACTAACATGTTTCGGTTGTATTACGCGTCTTTATTTTTATTTTTGATAAAAAACTACATTCTCCCGCGCGTTTCAGATACTTTACAGCAACCGTGATCACGGGCAGGCGAAATATGATCCGAAACATATTAGTTTCATTTCAATGTATGGATATTAAGTTGCGTAATAAGTTGCGATTCACTCTTTTCCTCTTTATGAAATACTGACGTAATTAACTATTGTAACATAAATCATTGTGAGAAAGTTAATAACTTATATTTTTAAATCGAACCTTCGCACTACACCTACATAACTATGTATAAACACAAACAAAAAATACCTAAACGTGTAAAATTGTGACATTTCCGTGTTCAGTAATCTTATTTTGTTGTCGTAGATCGATGTAACGAGATAAGCTTGTAAGTTTTTTACGTTACAAGTATATTTCTACATAACACATAAATTATTTAGGAAGCGCGCGTATCATTGTTGATTCTTATTATCACAACATGTAATGATTCTTGTTAACAAGCAAGTGGGGTCTCGGTAACAATTCAGTTTTATTTTGAGGATTTCCTTCCACGCGTCTTTAATTTTACAAAACATTTTTGTAATTAAATGGCAAAATATACCTATTGGATCTCTATGAATTATAACTTTATGAGAATATTTTTCTTATGATAATTAAGTAACAAAACGTGTAGTAATACATTGCAGTAAGAGGAGGTAGAACACGTATTTTATGTTATTAAAGTATTGTAAAATAATATCAATTCCATAACCATACCCGGGGAGTATAACGATGTCAATCACGGCGTGTGTGAGAGGTCTACTATATAGTGGTAACACATGTACAGAGACCGCATACGTGTTCCAGCGGACGTTTTAAAACTGTGTGCTGTCTTCATGTGTTTATTATACTGAAGGAACTGACATTAAATGTTCAATTATAACACATGACTACAAAGTTATTTACTTTACACTTTTTTACAGTATGATTTTTAATATAACAGTTTTTCAGTTACTCAGTTATTCAGTTTTATGAAATATGAAAATTGGCAATTTTTAAATACCTTTTTTTATATTTTCCAAAATTAACTACGAAAATTAGGTAGGTACATAGTTGTGACTGAAATTTTTCATCAAACAAATTCTTAAGTGAGACTGTTTTATTTTTTTTATATGTAAAACAGAAATCTTCTGTATTATTTGATGTACAAATAGAGATTTTCTGACAAGGTCTGAGAGTCGGTAAAGACGGGGAGAGAAGCAAATTTATACTTTTTCTAATATTAATTAGTATCGGTCCAGTTCAATAACGTTTATATTTCGATGTGTTCGTCATGAGTCACGGCTGAACATGTGACCTCTCGGTATCTATGAGGTTTGCAGTTTGATGATGTAGGGTGTGATCGTGTCGATGTACAGAGAACGAGCTGGTGAAGGGACGCAGGTACTGGAGCTGAATATTACTGATTGTGATAAATAATAATGACAACATACTCGTAAAGATGACAGATTTTTGAGTATTTAATAATAGTAAATAGAATAAAACCAGTTCTATAAGTTAAATGTCGGTAAAGTAAACCTATATACAGACAATGTACATAGGTTTTATTTATTATATATAATATAAGTTTCTTAATACGAACTGTTTATGTATTTCTGTATTTGTTTAGTGTCATATAATACAAGACGTATTGATATTAACGAGAGTGATCACAGACAAGCGACTAGTTTGCCAGCGGTGTTCTGTCGCTGGGCTGAAGGCAACGCACTCATTAATTAAACAGCTCCAACTAAAACGCAAATTGCACCCACGGCCGCGCCTCTAACGATCGCGTTTTAATTTAAGTCCGTATTATTTAAACGTATTAATTGGCGACACGGCCTTTAAAATCATTCACCGCTGATTTTAATTTGAAATTACGTGTTTGTTTCATTACAAGATTGTTATATTATTAAAGAATAAAACAAAATACTCGCGCTCACTAAAATCTTATGGATATATTTTGAGTTTAACCTAATAGTTTGGGTTTACTTATTTTAAAGATACTTCAGAAGTTATATACCTTTATATTTGTACTTATTTTACCTATATAAAATATCATTTGTATAATACTTATGGAAATAAAAATTACTCTTGAATTTGAAATATAACAGCATCTTAATTTACTATTTTGTACTGGAAGTAGAGAATAACTCAATATAATAAGTAAGGTTGTTAATTTTTTGACAAGTAAGGGACACCCGGCCAAGGGAATAGAACTGATAAAAATGATGATTTGTCCTTTTAGTCTATCATTTTCTCGGGTTGAATTATTTTCACAAAAAATCTTTTTAGATGAAATGTCATAAAAGTAATAGTTATTATTTCTTAACACATTTTTAAGTAAGACATCTTAATTTTCTGTTCATTACAACTAAATTTACCCAAATGGTCAAGTTTAAATCAGTTACAAAAGATACATTGAAGATCATCTCCCTTTCAAACTTGTCAGTCGATAGAGCTTTATTGTAATGCTGCCGAGAGCCGCGATGTAAATAGCCTTTAAACAATGTTTCGTTGTTACATTGACGACATTTCAACCGACACGCACTCATCGTGCCATTACACTTCCACTTTATTGTACGGAACATATAACATTTAATTTAAAAATAGTAAATTAAATGTTTGAGTTGGGAAATAAAAAAATAAAATATAGAACAGGTGACATGTAGGATGAATCACAGAAACGTATTAGTGGTATCCGCAATCATAATTTACTTCTTTATGACTATTATCTGACGTACAAAGGTCTTCCTCACACTTATTGTCGACTTCATAAACTACATTGTAAGATTATTATCTTTGATGTTTTATTACAGATCGATGACTTGTAGCATGTACTCGTAGCTTGCATTTCTCATCCGAGGACGTGAATAACATACATGTATGTTAAATTACCGAAATGAATGAAATAAACGTTGTTTACAAAAAAATAACAAGAGATGTTCTAAATAACGTACTATTTAGTCTAAATATGTACAATAATTTTAAAACACACAGTTTTCTCCAAAAAGTATTTAACATAAAATTACATGTTTATGTGATTTCAATATGTTGCTTCGGTTATTATTGTAATGTTTCTATGTTATCTTTTAAATTATTATTAACTTGATGAGTTTTTCAAATCTTGTAGTTGTACATAACATGTTATCTTGTTCGTTGTGATCCGAATAATATTAGTTTCATTTACAAGTAATTATCTTTTGACTAACGGAATTAAGATTCTAATTCTCTAATTGGAGTCCAACAACAGCAATTTCTTTATTAATAACCAAAAATACCGTACAATGTGATAATAATTTCGGGTAAATTAGTCACAATACAATATGTGTCCAGTCTGCATAAATGACTTTCTTTTACTTAGACTGCGTTCATCTCCAAGTGTACCGGGACTCTAAAGCCCGATGGGGCGGTGCAGCGAGCAAGGCCTCCCTCTCATTGCAACAGTATCTCGGCTGCGAGGTCGGCTTCACTCTCGACAAACACTCACACACCATCGCTCTGCTGTGCCGAGACTTTACTGCAGTTCTAGCTTTTGAAACACGTGAACGGCTAATACAGTGGCAGGTACTAAGAATATATATGTATAACTACTTCCAAAACGATTTAATATAAATCAATATATGTATTATGTAAGTACAATAATTACTTTACAGTCTTCCCAGCCGATACTGTTATCTCATTTCGCAAAGGACAAATTAAAAAATAACAAATTAATCGTTGATTTATAAAATATTATGATTATTGTAGGTAATATTAATAACACATTATATTTCGGTACTTTATTTATTTTAAGGTTAAAGTTAACGCTCAACTAGGTGAAGCGATACAACATCTAGTGTTAGTGGGTTCTGCAAGTGGTTCTACAACTGGCAAGAGACTCCCTGCTGGTCCGGCTCGACTACATCTCCACCAAAGTAGATTTGCACTAACATCTGGTGTACCTCCAAGACTTTTAGGAGTGTGGGAGATTGCACATCTGAGGTAAAATTGTCGGATCCATCAAATATATTTGTTTTTTTTTTAAATAAAATTAACATGTACTTTGTGTAGACGGTATGGTGTCGTCGATGGTAGATTCTGTTTTGAAGGTGGGTCGCACTGTGGGAAAGGTGAAGGACTACATGTGTTACTTACCGATCAAGCAACTAAAATTGCAAAAGATTTTGATTTAGCTTCAAGGGGTCAATTGTCACCCAGAAGACGTCCACTGGATAGTAGAAAAAATGAAGGTAATTAGTTGATTCTATAGGTTATATGGAATTATAATTAATATGATTTAAAAATGGTTTTACATTGCTTGCTCCCTAGGTTTAAGTAGTCCAACATCGAGCAAGTCATTAAAAAAAGCCGATCTTCGACGATTAGAACTTAACACTATTGATCGATCTCTTCCGCCTTCTGATTTACGTCTGTATGAAGATCCGTGTCAAGACGAAATAGGTGCAATATCACCTTACTGGCCTTCCGCTGAGAGAACAAATATTAACGAAATGGGTCTAGGCGACACGGTGTCTGTAAATGAAAACTTCGATGGAACAGACATGAACCCATGGAATGGCAATGGGAATGTTATGTTAGAAAGATGTATGAGCTGTATATCAAAATTAGGTGCTTTATCCAGGTCATCTACCGCTGCTTTAACACCAGGTGCAAAACATTTCAGTCCTGCTTGGACTATGGAAGCGGTGGATGAAACAAACAGTGATATTTCTACAAATGATGCACTTAGTGGTAGTGATTTTAAAACACGTAAAGGAAATCAGGTAGAAGAAGTTTGTCGGTGTTCGTCAGAACAGGCTCCTGATCGTCCTCCAAAACCATCTAAATTAGAGTTAAATATGACCAGAAAACCACCAATGCCATTACCAATAAGATCTTTCAGTCACGCACAGCTATCATCGATTGGAGAAAACACTTCAACGAATGTTGATCCTTATGATAATTATGACGTACCAAAAATACCATCTACCGAGGTAAATATATATGCTTTTTTTATCATTATTTAATTTTAATAAATAAGATTAAGACATGAAATTATATAATGTTTTAGATTGACGGAGAGTATTATGACACACCAAAACGATTGAAAGAATGTCTTAATAACGAACTTTTTAAAATAACAAAAAGTTCCACTACTAATGTTCTTATACTAAAGAAACCTTGCGGATGCTTACTAAAGCTGGGTAAGAAAGTAAAGCAACCTACAATCGTAGATACAGATGAGAATTTACAACCAGTCAGTTGTCCTTGTCAAAGAGTAACAGATTGGGCAAACAACTGGATCAAACTTCCATATTGTAAAAGAAGTGTAGAGGAAAAAGAAACAACAGTGCCAAACAAGGAAAATTTAAAACCGAACATAAATGAACGTAGTGCATTATATGCAACTGTCGATCTATCTCGCAAAACAAAAAGAAAAGCTCAAGATATTTATCTATATACTGAGAATCAAATGACACAAAGTCGAGATTCAAATTCCATTGAAGTAGACGAAGGCCCTCACGCTAACTATGAAAATTTAAATTTTGCGCTTTCTTTAGAACATTATGAAAATGCCAAAGATCTATTAAGAAGAGCTGGTGTCACACAATCAGAACTTGATGCTCTAAGTTCTAATTTAAGACCAATGATGTGTCTTACAACGATAGGAGATAAAACAATGTGTAGAAAATGTGGCCACCCACAAGAATGTGGCCCTAATCACAGAAAAAAAAGCAATGACGAATATCTAATGATGGAACCGAATTCATTAGAAAACAATAAATGTGAACCGGAAAAATCACTGCCTTCTGGGTATACTCCAATGTCACCAATAGGAACTTTTGGTTTTCATACTTTAAAATACCCAACAAAAAGTCCTATTAATAGGCTGCTTGATGAAAAGTCAGCTAGTAACCCAACATTATGTGGTCCTGAAAAGACTCAGCCTACTATGACCTCTGTAGGAGAACATGTTGAGTTACGTCCTGCTCACAATCGTCCTGAATATCGAAAACGTTCAAGTTCAGCTGATTCTTCAAGATTCCTCGATGACGTTAAGGAATTTGATGGAAGTGTAGGTAGCAGGGGTTCAGCGTCTTCTATAGAAACTTTACGTGATATAGGAATTCGCGAAACAAGTGCAACGTGCGATTGTGCTACCAGTAAACATTCAGATGCTGATAGCTCTGAAGCATCGAAAGTTAAGGCTGACATAACAGTTACAGCTGGTGGGAACAGGGATTCATCAAGTTCTAATGATTCAGGGGTTTCGAGTTGGTCGTTGCGTGGAGAAGCGGCGCCTGGCGCTGCAGACTTTGAACTTCCTGCAACTACAGCAGCAACAAGACGTCGATATCGTACTGCTAGGAGAGCCATCGACTCTCCAAGAAGCACACCTGTTCGACGCTCAAGATCTTCTGGAGGTACGAGAAATTCCCCCCCGGCAACGCATAAGTGTTGTTCTGCAGAGGCAGAAGTTCCAGTTCTCAATGTTAAGCCATTAAGAGGTAACAGACATACTTATAAATATCAAAAATAAAATATATATCTAAGATTATTTAATATAACATGTATTTTGATTTATAGTAGTTATGGATACAAATAGTACGTCCAGCGGCACCTCTGATATGTCAGACTACATCGAGACGCTGTCTATTTGTTCTTCACATTCATCATCTGATACGCCAATCACTATGAGGTAAAGCCGTAAAATTTAATTCCTTAAGTTAATTAAACGTGTAATTTTGATCAGTCTGGCTTAATGAAATTGTTGATCTAAACTATTTGTTCATTAATATATTCGTTTTATTTCATTCTGAGATGTAAATTGCATATTCATTTGGGTTTTAAAAAAGAAAGATCATACCTATTTTAACATTAAAATGGATTTGAAAATTACTAAAACATGTATTAATGTGACAAGGGTATTGCGTCAGACGACGAGTACTCTGCGGCCTCGCTCTGGCAAGGAGTATCAGCCGCTGGCCCCTCGGCTCGCTGCGGGTCTACGATCTGCTCAGCCTCAACACTATTCCAACCTCCCTTAGATGTATGCCACATCGCGATTTGGAACTGTAACGAGTAAATTAGATTTTATATATGTACACCTTGTCGACTTCATAAAGGTTTCCTGCTCGTATTAAACAAGGCTGGAGAAGTAATTTTGTACTGATTATAATTTATAATCTTATCTATTGTAACTAGTCATACGATGAATTAATTCTAGTCCCCTTAATTTATCTCATCACATCCGATCACAAGAGCTGTATGTATCATTATTATACATATTATAAAGTATGATAACAACCGACACTTCAAACCTGTCATCATTTTGTCTTAAGTACGATCCGTCCAAGGCTGTCCCCGGTGAGTTATAACCTTAGTAAGAGCCAAGCTAAATGCTGCACATTGCAACGTTTTTAAGTCATAAATTTTCGTTAACATTATAAGATTGAAAATTGTTGAAAGAAAATCGTAAAAAGAGTCGGCTTTTAGTTTGAGGATATATTGTTTTATAGCTACATCTGTCACTCGTGTGCTTGCCTGATATTTGTATCCATTTGTATAATATAAACATGCCTTGTAGTCTTTATGGCCTGAGATGGTGAGTCGAGCCTTGAAATTTATTTTATTTATATTTAGGTGAACTGTAATAATGATATTATTATTGTAATATAATGATGGACATTTTCTAAAATTATCCTATTTGATTACTTGTGATATCTGTATTTTAAAGGAAATTTTTCATAGAAATTCATAAATTTTTGTGCCAAATTGTGACGTGCATTTATATAAATAGTATTGAAAATCGATTTGGGAAACAGTACGAATTATATGACAGGTTATTATAACAGTGAGACGTTCAGTACAACGTCTCCGTTTGAAAAACATTTTAAGACGGTCTAGTTGGTTGATCTATTCCTTATTTATTCTTAAAGTATTTGTAATCTCTTTTATCAGATGATTTTGGTCTCATTGAAATCGATTTAAAATGTAAGCGAATTTAAGTATAAATATGGAATCTAGATTTTCTTAGCCCATCTTTTAGTAATTTTTTATTAATAACTTTTCTACATACAGTATACCGTGTAAATAAATATTTAAAAAGTTGTAACTTATGTTGTTGAAATTATTCTCCTTGAGCAACGATTATTTTAGTTTCATTTGTTACAATGTTCTAAAGTTTTTGATATTTGAAGGTAAAGTCTGAGGCATTCTAGTGCCGGGCAGACAACGCCACGGCAATTCACTATAGCAATAAGCAATGCAACTGAAGTGATCCATGTAAAATATATAATATATATTTATATATAGTTAAATATATAATATATGAGAGGTAGTTGTAAATTGTTAGGCGAGGCGGAGGCTTCACGGCCCAGACTGTACTTGCAAGCAGGTTGTTTAGACATTACGCTAGAATGAATTTATAACTAAAATAAAGTTATTAACTCAAATTTCTGAATAAAAAGATATTAAAGCTAGCAGTGTTTTATTTATCATTGTGATTAATTTAAGAGTCGGCATGCTGAGTCTCTAATTGTGGACACAAAGGCGCGCAATAATGACTGGGAAGAATTTCGTTCTTCGGAGTTTATCGCGTTCCAGGCTGACAAAGAAAAACCGGCTCTTAAAAATGACTACCCTGGCCGGAGGCCGGAGGGAGACATGTTAATTAGCGTCGAGTCGCCGGAGTTTAATATCCGTAGCAGGGGGAGGGAGCCACAGATGCTGTCTTTAATGTTAGTACAGAGGAAACATTGAAACTCACATTGAAATAGATTAGTTATTTTAGTTTATTGTTCCTTACACTCAATCAAATTAAAACGATAATGATAATCATGCAATATCTAGTACTTACGATTATATAAATCCTTATATCTATGTAATGGGAGACTATAAATTACACACTGATAATAAATATAAGCTGATTAAATGGATTAGAAATCCCTGTTTGATGATAACTATCACTTTAAGATGCTATCATTAGTATCGGCCGTGTATTTATAATACATATATTTAACTTGAACCATATTTAAGGATATTCATTTCTTTTGTAGTCCGGAATTATTTCTCATTAATTAAAAAACTAACTAACAACTGACTCTATTAACTTAAAAATAACTAACAACTGAACCACTAAACTAAACTCTCCCTCTACCTGTCTTTAATCATATCTCCTGAACGTTGCTACAGTTATTGTATAAATATTTTAACTTTTCCCTATGTTTATTCGTCTTCATACTTACCAAAGATGTTCATGTATTATGTCATCCGTGATATGATAATCACGATGCTATTTAAGGTATTATTTAGTATAACTGTATCATAATCGTTTTATCAGCCATCGAAATATAAAATGATATTAAATTATATATCAATTGTATTCTGTTGTTCTAAACCAAATATTTGTAAAAGGCTGATTGAAAATATAATGTCTCGTAAAGCCCTTGAATTAAAATAAACAAGTGTATGAGGGTATGTTTGCTGTGGCTCATAGGGGCTCACCAGTTGTCATGTTTATTGTCTCCTCTCTTCGTCAAAGGGTTTACATCGTGTTACTGTCTACTGAAACGATTACTTTCATGTTCACACATTCCAATGTTCTTCAATAAATACATAGAATGTGAATATACATTAATACATGTGAACACACCTTCTGCTTAATGTAATGCTTCTCAAGTTTTGTATTTTGAAAATTGTAACGTACAGTTTTTTTTTTTTTTTTTTTATGTTAAAGGTAGCAATCGAGCAGACGGCCCACTTGATGGAAGGTGGTTACCGTCGCCCATGGACATCCGCAACATTTTGTTGCGGATGCGTTGCCAACCTTGTTTTTTGGGGATCGGGAGGGGTGGGAATAAGGAAATGATAGGAAAGGGTAGGAATAGGGAAAGGGCAACCGGCTCTCTCACTCACCAGACGAAACGCAGCCAGTAAAGGCTACTTCACGCCGATCTTCTGTGAGAGGGTGGTACGTCCCCGGTCGAGCCAGCCCATGTTCGAGCTGTAGTACTTCACCACAGCTAGGCTCTACCACCTTTATACCACAGTTTCTAGCCAGAAATTATCCTTTTTTGAAAAACTCGTCATCCACAAGCATACTATATTTGAATAAACATTAAAGTATGTACATTGAAACATAAAAAAATAAGTTATTTGTTTTCAAAATATTTGTTGTCAATTTAAAAAGTGTACAGAAATATATTTATAAATAGATATGTTAAAATTTTACCAATCACAATTTAAAGGATTAATTTTAATGTGTTAATAACTTATATCTGTCTGTCTGGTACAGGCTCATAGCTTGTGTACAAAATCACATTCTATTAAAGTTTATAAGATGCTTATATAAGTTCGTGTTAGTAAAACAATCTATACATTTTCATTGTCTCATACCTCTTACACACACACACACACACACACACACGCCTTACTATAAAGTGATTATGATCATCTCAAGCGACTTTCCACTATACATTTTTATTTCGAATGATAATCTAAAATGTTAAACTATTTATGTGTTCTTGTTTAATATTTATTCAGCCTTTTCTAATAGATGCATTAAAGAGTAAAGGAAAGATTTTTTTCTTATTTATACTCGTCTTGTCATACATTTAGAATTAAATCTTATTGTTTTACTGATGTATGTGTATTTTTAATATTTAATGTAATTTCCAAAATCATTATTTTTCTAAATGGATCTGTTTTTATCTTCTCATAATATTAAACTGCGTACATACAATTCGTTCTCTGAGCGCGCGTGTGTCAGTTGGTCGTTGTTGATAGGAACTCTTATAATAAACTCGTTATCAAATAAAACAGTTTTATCTCTCTTTGATCGATCGATATTTCACGTTTCGTTTATTATTATTATGTTTTATATCTACATGAACAGCGTATTAATTAGTTAATGACATTTTAATAATATCTGACATCGCGATCACTTTATTGAACGATACATTATAATTATATGATATAACGTTATAATCCTATTTTAAATGTAATTATTGTGATGATAATAAGTTTATTTGAATCTGATTCAGACTATACGATAATGAGTTGGCTTTAAATATTTATTTTTACATCGATAAACAATGTTATTTACGTTATACTGAAGTTACTAACGAATACAGTTTAAATAATAAAAATAACACTGTCTTTGTGTTTTAATTAGGTTTATATTTATGTTTTGTATTTTTTTAAATATATTTATTTCAATCGACGAGATGCTATAGATTTTGTAACTCTCTACTGAAGATCTTTTTGAGAGGAAAGGACGGAAACCCCTATTGTTCCGTGAAATAACTCAACGCCTAATCTCTTTGTATTTATTAACATTTTCTAATTTTTCTCATCATTAATGATAAAGTTCCTCAAATTTATTTTCATATTAATTCCTTGTTCACTATGGTCATCACTGTATATTTAATATTATTCACTTTATACTTGAATCATTTAAACTAATACATATTATAAAGACTAAAACTTGGTTTGGTTGTAATGAATAGGCTCAAAAACTACGGGACCGATTTTAAAAGTTTTTTCGCCGTTCGAAAGCTACATTATCCACGAGTAACTTAGGCTAGGTGCTATTTAAAAAATAGGGTTCCGTTAGATATTTGGGTTTTTCGGACACAATGTGAAAAAAATCAACAAGAAAAAATTCTTATTTTGCCTACGCTATGTACCTAAACTATAAAATGTAGAAGATTAAAATGTTCTAATTAATTGAGGATCTTATAAATATCTACCCTATAGACTTTATTTACTTTACAAATTAGAGATCCGTAAGAAAATTGCTACTGTGTAACCCAAAGTGTAAAATCGAAAACTTATATTAGTACATATGTATATGCGTGCGGGGTAAAATCAACGGGCAATAGAACAAAATAATGTACTACTGGTTTGTAGGTCTCATTAAGATCTAGAAAAATATCCAGGAGAGTATGTACATATTTAATCATCATAGTTCAGTCACCATTTCTGCTTTTGTGCTAAAAAAAAATTAAATCTTTTGAAGAAAGAAACTACGTCTTATGTTTATCGTAATATTATCCTTAATCCTTATCCAAAGTTAGCATTAGCTTATCAAGGGGATTTATTTTAAAACAACAATACATTTTATTTCATCCCAATCTGATATTTCGTTTAGAAGTTATGAGGAGTGTAAGACGCTAAGAATTGTTATCTAATAATTAATTTATTTCCAAAGAGTTTTATCACCATAATAGACATAATTAAACTTTAGTACATATTTTATTGTGAACAAAATTATCATTGAAATCATGAAATAACTTAATTTCAATCAAGATCTTAGAGTAGCATCCCTACTAATATTAAAAATGCGAAAGTATTTATCTATCTGTCTGTGTCGTTTTAACGCCTAAATAGCTGAATCGATTTTGATAATCGATTCAGCTGTTTAGGTATGAATATTTAGGTTGAATATTTAGCTATTTAGGCTGAATTTTAGTATAGCGATATATCGTACATGGAATCTTGGAGACAGACATATGCTGACTTTTATCCTGAATCCCGATCCCGACAACAAAATTAAAAGAGTGCATGAAGCATACATACTTCAAACAATGAAGTACAGTTCAGGTTTAGTGGCCGTAGTACATATTAGTTTTAAATTTTATCCAGATCCCGATGTCATATCTACAGGGGTGGAACCATGAAGTGAGGTACTAATTTGGTGGCAGTAGTGGCATAGAATAACTCTGATGTTCACGCGGGCGGAGTCGCGGGAAAAAGTAAGAATTAACATTATATACGAGTATACTCTGTTTCCTTTCGCTTAACACCCTAACATTGGCGATCTCATCCAAATCTATAATATTCTTTAGAAAATTAAATAATTCCATCATCAGTAAGTGCTCAAGGATCATCATTTTCATTAATTAAGTCTCAATACAGTTGTTTCTTTAGATACAATAATAAACGAGCACTGAAAATAAAGTATTAAGTATTAGAAAGCAAATGAAATTCTTGACTAAAATCTTATTGTACCGATTGTTCTTGGCTTAGCAAAATTACTTTTTGTGCACATCGAGGGATTTTGTTTATCAGGCATCGATACAAAATATGTAGGAAACATGCAATAAATACTGTCTTTATGATATGTTTATATATGTATATACATACAACTATGTTTTATTAATTTAAGTAACTTTGAAATATTTAAAGACCAAACTGATGTTTTGTGTAATGTTGAAGCACTGATTACTGATCACCGGGAGGCGGACAACGTGTTAGCGAATCTTATATTAATTAGCAGACATCGAAAACAAATGAGACATTAAAAAGCAAAGGTAAGGTTTAAAGTACCTTAGTATATACAACTTAATTTTTTTATATGTAACAGAATACGTCACAACATACCACATACTGTGAATAACACAACGATCTATTATTTAATCCTTATTGAATATTCTGTGAGACAAAATCTTAGAAGAATTACTAGAGGTGTATCATGAATAACGAGTTTATAATATGAAACATTAATTAAGACAGTAATTAAGTTTACCTCATAAAGATTATGTAATAAACGCCAGGCGGGTGGCGCTCCAATACGTTCATCTATCACTTTACTATCGATTCATATAGTCAGGTGTTGAGCGATTCTTTGTAGTTAAACTGAAAATTATAAGAATTATTTACTAGTTTATTTTTTTGTGAGGTTTAACTTGATAAATTACCATTTCAGTTACATTAAAAGCTCAAGAAATAGAGACAG